TATGTTTTGTGACAGATACTCTACTAACAATCATCTGGGCATAACAATGAATAAGAATCTCCCTGGGTCCTCAAGACCACTAGAATATATGGTCTAGTAAAGACATAGAGGAAAGCAGAGGATTACATTTCTCTGAAAGAGAGGCACAAGGTGATATGAAAACAAAGAGAAAGAGCAACAGTTTAGAATGGGTATTTGAGGTTGGGGACTGGCAGGTTTTTCAGCAGGATGGAACATTTGTCTGAGTTCTTGAGAATGAGTGAGGACACATTAAGCCAATGAAAGTTATGGAAAGTGTTCCACATTGAGGGAGCTACGCATGCATAGTGAGCATAGTGAGATGGGGCTAGAGTGGGAGTCAGGGGTTCGTCCATGGAGAGTCTTTTATACTATGTTACAGAGCTTTGACTCCATAGGGAAGGTTTGGGGGAACTGCAGTAGAATTCAAAGGAAGGAATGCTCTGATCAAATTTGTTTGGAAAGGATGGCAGTGTCAAAAATGAATTGGAAGGGCAAGTATGGAGACAGACAACTGATTAAGAAGCTGTAGTTATGATCTGGGTAAGAACTAAGGGTTTGACAAGGTTAAAAGCAGTAGCGATAGAGGAAAATGAAAGAATTCAAGAAATTTTAAGCAATGATGGCTTGGAGATGTATAAGATATAGGATGAAGGAAAGAGGGAGGTCTAAGATGACTGCCAGATGATGCTGGCATGGGAGACTGGAAGGTTGGCATTCATTGAGATGAAAAATGTCACAGGGAAAGCTGATGTATTTGGAGTGATGACCTCCATTTTAGATTTGACTAATCTGAGGTTTCTGTGGAACAACCGAAGTCTTGGAGCTCAGGTGAAAGGAGATGTATTTGGTTCTATTTGATAGTTCTATGATGGCTTAAATGTCCTTTTTCAGATAATACTATCACCACTCAATTTATCCAGGAGTTACTAAGATCCTCATTTTTCCTCATTCTTTTTCTCCTGCAGTACTCCTTGGCAGGAAGCATTTATATCCCAAGCACTTAAAATAGACAAACTCAGGAGCTGTTACCCTCTTTCAGGTTAAATGGACTGATAGTTAATGGCATAAGTCAAGAGAATTCACTGCTTTTAACATGTAGTTGATGAGAGCCATTTACTTTAACTGGTAAATGGAAATGCCCACTCTCCTTTGTCATAATTCGTCTTGAATTATGTCAGTTTGGATTATGTGCGATGTCCAAGCTTCACCCCTCACCTAAAATGCAACACCTCTGTCAATGCATCGAAATAGGCAGAATGGTGCACAACTCTACTCTGGCTCTCCTGCAGGCTCAGCGGTACGAGGCAGCATCCACAATTTATGGACCACATACTTTGTCTGCTTACATCCAGCTTTTCAGAGTCCTTGCTAAGGCCATTGCTACGGTAATAAAAAATTGTATGTGTGTCTCAGGGCTGGGGAGATGCAAAAGGGGAAGCAAAAGAGACCTTGGCTTTGAGTGTTCGGTTTCTTTGAAAATCTTTATATTTAAAAATATTGTAGCTGTGAGGCATCTCTAAAAAATGAAACTGAAAATAAATTCAGGGTCAGTTAACATCTTGGTGGTGACCTCTTTTTTCATACATATTATCCCAAATTATCCTCACAATCACCATGTGAGTGTGGAGGTACCATTTCCTCCTATTTCTCAGTTGAGCAAATAGGTTCAGAAATGATAAGTGATCAAGCTTACTGTAACTGGGAGCTGAACCACTGGTCCCTAACCCTGGCCAGATCTTCTCCAGTCGCTTCATCAGTTGGGCAGGTCATCAATTCTGAGAGGCCCATTTTCCATATTATAACGTCTCTGAAATTGGGGTGTATCTTCCAATCAAAGGAACCTTATAATTAGCTGCATGTTTTTACTTTCCTGGTGGTTCAAAAATAATAATTGTTATATCAATGGAAGCTTATATTTGATGAGGTACAACAGTATCTTGTCATGTACATACATGTTGTACCTAACTAGAATATGTGCACCTAAACAAGCTTACTTAAAGGAACTCCACTTGTGGAAATCTCCTGGGGATACAGTTTATATATGAAGGTGCCCTGTGGTATCAAAGACTTGTCAATAAGCAGGATAAGGAACTTAAGATAAGAAATGGGCCCTTGTATGATACCATATAAGCCCCAGTAAAGGCTGTGAGACAGTTATAACATAGCAAAGACAGTAAAGTCCTTTTCAAAGAAAGAGCTCAGATATATTAAATTGAAACAAATGAAACTGCTGTTTCTGTGGGTCAAAACAGTGAATATCGGCAATTTCGTATACCTCTCCCTAAATAGTTATTGACTGTGTATTTGAAGTTTCAGTACAAGGCATTTACTTAGGATATATTTTAATTACCTGGTTACTGTTGATTGTAATATTCCTCTCAATTTTAGGTCTGATACTTTTTTTTCAAAGTAGAACTATTTTTATTTTTCGCCATAAAAGCTATAACTGTTTATAGTTTATTCAGATTATACAGAGAAGTGTAAACCTATAACACAGCCCTAGAGATAACCGCTGTTTAACTTTCATACAATTATAGGTTTATAGCTCTTTCCATGGAAATAGAGTCATCAAATTTTATAGTGATATTTAGGAAGAAAAGTGTGATTCATTTTGTGGAAATTAGTTTCACAATTTTATGGTTATGTATCTAAGAATAGCTATGTGATGTTGGACAAAAAAACACTGAGTACTTGCAAGCCTGTTTTCCCATTTGCAAAATGGGAATGATAATAAGTAAATTATATGGCTGTTGTAAAGATTAAATACATAAAGTGAGGATTAAAGTATGTTAAATACCTATAAAGGGCTATTTAAAATTTGAGATTAGCACTTTGATGGCACTTTAAAGGTGGCAAATTTTGCGGAAAACATAGGTTAAACCAGTCATGATATAGGCTGATCTGAACTTTTAACTTAAAAAATACATTTATTATATTCTTTAATTAGCACAGAGAAGGATTTAGGGAAAAAAAAACTTGATAATGACTTTGGATAAGAGAGGCTCAACGCTTCTTAAAAATTAAAAGAATGGTTACAGTGTCCCGTTACAGAGGCTTATCGTGTGTTAGAGTCCTGTCCAAAGTCGCACAATAGAACATGGCTATCCCAGAATGTAAACGCACGGAGCAGGATTCCTAGCTTACACGCTCATCACTGGATTACACCGCTTAGAGGAGTGAAAGTGCTGCCTGTGACCCAAACTTTCTTCTAGTGAGAAAAGTTTAAATTATGGACATCTAGGCTCACGTTTCAGGAAAGTTCCCCTCACATTTTGGTACGGTTGTTAGCTCTTGGGGAAGAGACAGAGAGGGAAAGGGAGAGGAGGAGAGAAAGTGAGTGTGTGTGTGCTTCCTTTAATGGAGGTATTCTGGGCGGTTGGAGTCTGGGGAGAGGGTCTTTGACTCTACATTGTACGCTCCTTAAGCAAATGCTCTCTGTTCTAGGACACAGTAGCCAACCTGAGCAGTGGTCCAGAGCCTCCATTTTTCCAGCAGCTGATAACACCATTAATTCCTAATATTGCGGATAGAGCACCCATAGGCAAAAATTTTGGGGATGTCCTGCAGCCAGTGAAATCTACATACACTGTGGTAAGACTCACAAAGAGATCTTCGGATCCTTCAGACGCCTGTGGTTAGGGATGGGGGGAAAAGATGTGGTTTAATGTCACACTTGCTCGAATCATGCCATGGACCAGCTCTTAGCAACAATAATTTTGATATTTATTCTTATCTCTGCATAGGCTCTGCAAACATGAGAACAGGGAAATATTCATTTTTTTAGGTGGTAATTATGGAAAATGGAATTTCTAAAATCCAAATTACTCCTTTTCTTTTTGAAGGGATAGTCATGGAACCATTCATTGCAGCACAGAAACTGTGTCTCTCAAATCAAGGATAGGAAAAGCAAATAGAGATGAAGCAGGATTTGTACCACTACTATTTTATAATGATCTTGTGTTCTGCAACTTTGCTAAATCATTTATTAGTTCTAATGGATTTTTTGGTGGTGCGGATTCCTTAGAAATTTCTGTGAATAGTATCATGTCATATGTGAATAAACACATATTCACTTATTCCTTTATGGATTTCTTTTCTGAATAACTTTAATTGTTTTTCCTTACTGCACTAGCTTGAGTCTCCAATACAATGTTGAAAAGAAGTTGTAAGACTGGATACCCTTGTCTTGTTTCTAATCTTAGGAGGAAAAGTGAAAATTAATCAGTCATGATGTATGATGTTTTCTTTAGAATTTTTGTAGATGCCCTTCATCAGGTTGAAAAAATTGCCTTTCTATGCCTAATTTGACAGTTTTTGTAAAGAATAGGTGTTGAATTCTTTCAAATGCTTTTCTGTGTCTACTGAGGTGATCGTGTGGTTTTTGTTTTTTATTCTATTAATATGGTGTATTGCATCAGTTGACTTTCAGATTAAATAAATGCCATTTAGTCACGGTATATAATCCTTTTTTTATATGTTGTTAAATTTGGTTTGCTAATATTTTGCTAAAGAGTTTTGTACTTGCATCCATGAGGGGCATTTGTAGTCTTCTTTTAACATGTTGGCTTTGTCTGCCCTTGGTATCAGGGTAACACTGGTCTCAAAGAATGATTAGGAAGTGTTTCTTCTTGTATTTTCTGAAAATATATACAAAGATTGACATTATTTCTTCTTTAAATACTGGATCAGATTTACCAGCAAAACCATATAGATTTGGGCTTCTTTTTATAGCAAAATTTTAAATTATTAATTCAATTCCTTTACTTGTTTTAGGTGTATTCATATTTTCTGTTTTTTCTTGAGTCATTTATGTATCTTTCTAGGAGTTTAACTTATTGTTAGGAATTTCTTCATTTCGTATAAGTATCTAATTTGTTGGGATAAACTTGTTCATAATATTCCCTTATAATTCTCTAAATTTCTGTAGAGTCAGTAATCATGTCCCCTCTTTCTTCCTGATTTTGCTCACTTGGGTCTTCAAAGAGCCAGCTTTTAGCTTCATTGATTTTATCTACTGTTTGTCTATTTCATTGATTTTTGCTCTAGTGTTTAATATCTTTCCTTCTGCCTGCTTTGATTTTATTTTGCTCTTATTTCTTCAGGTGGATGCTTGGGTTATTTTTGCTTTAGTATACATCTTTTATTCCTCTGTTGATTTTTTACTGTACATACTTGTAGCTATTTTCCTAGTAGTTATTTTAGAGACTAGAAAAAGAACTATTTTGTCTCCCAGTACTCTACTCTCAATACTTTTGATATATGAAGGTCCTCCACGCCCCCAGCTAAGTAGTTCTCCAGGTCTCTGTGGATACCAATCTGATGTCCTACAATTCTGATGCCATTTACTTGCTGTTGGCACAGACCCCACAGGTTAAGCGCTCTGTCTCACGAGACTGCACCCTCCCCCTGCCCATACATACATATTTCAGACACCAATGGCAAATCTAAGTTGTCACCTGTGCCTCTCACAGCCTGCCTATAAATTGGAGATTCCCGTGACCCACTCCTCAGGTTGAATAATTTTTTAGAACAGCTTACAGAACTCAGGAAAATAGTTTACTTGCTAGATTGCATTTATTATAAAAGCTTACAACTCAGGAACAACCAATGGAAGAGATGCATAGGGCCAGTTCTGGGGAAAGGAACACACAGCTTCCGTGCCCACTCCAGGCATGCCACCTTCCCAGAATCTCCACGCATTCACCAACCTGGAAGCTCCCCAAATCCCATACTTAAGGGACTTTTATGGAGGCTTCATCAAGTAGGCATGATTGACTAAATCTTTGGTGGTTAACTCAACTTCCAGCTCTTTTCCCCTTCTTGGAGATCAGCAGGTTGGAGCTGAAAGTTCTAAATCTCTAATCACATGGTTTGTTCCCCTGGCAACTAGCTCCCATCTAACATTATCCAGAAGCCCCCAGCCACCGGTCATCTTATTAGCATACAAAAGACACTTTACTTCAGAGATTCTAAGGGTTTTAGGAGCTAAGTACCAGGAAATGGGGGCAGAGATCAAATCTATATTTCATTATGTCAGCGGGCTATAATCTGCATCTTAACTAACCACAATCTACTTTAGTATAATACTAACTTAATTCAAAAAATATAAAAAGATTTTTCCAATATCTTTTTTCCATTCCCATCTTTTGTAATATTGTTGTCACATATTACATCTGTTATAAATGTGATAATATAGTGTTATAATTACTGTTTTATACAATCTTATATCTTTTACAGACATTGAAAGAAGATATGAAAAAGTTTATTTATAGAATATTTTTGTTTACCTACATATTTACCAGTTCTGGTGCTCTTTATTATTATTTTTTAAAGAATTTAATTTACTATCTAGCATCATTCTCTTTCAGCCCGAAGGACTTTCTTTAGTATTTCTTGTAAGACAGTTATGCTAACAAATTTTCTCAGCCTTTGTTTATCTGAAATGGACTTATTTTATTTTTGAAGAATAGTTTCTCTGCATTCTTGATTGAATTTTTTTTTCTTTTGTCACTTCAAAAGAAAATTTTATTCTGTTGTCTTCTGTCCTTCACTCTCTAATGACAAGTCAGTTGTAAATTTTATTGTAATTTCCCTGTAAGAAATGAGTGATTTTTCTCTTGCTGCTTTCAAGATTTTCTTTTTGTCTGTGTCTAGCACCAGTTTACCACAATATATCTAAATGTGATTATCCTACTTGGGATTTTTTGAGTTCCAAATTTGGGAATTTTTTATCCATTATTTCTTCAAAGCTTTTTTTTGTCCTTTTCTCTCTTTCTTCTAATTTTTGAATTTCTCTTTTGTGAATGTCAGTATACTTGATGTTGTCCCACATGTTTTTGAGGCTCTGTTAATTTTGCTTCAATCCTTTTTCCAATCTCTATTCTTCAGATAGGATAATTGGTACTGATAAGTTTGAGTTCACTTATCCTTTCTTCTGTCATCTCACATTTGCTGTTCAGCCCTTCTAGTGAATTTTTCATTTCAGTTGTGATATTCAATTCCAGAAAATCCTCTTTACTGAGGTTCTCTATTTGTTAAGTCATTGTCATTATACTTTCCTTTAGTCTTTAAGCATGATTTATATTAGTTCTTGAACATTTTCATAATAGTTGTTTTGAAGTTTTTGCCTGCTAAATCGAATTTCCGGGGACACAGAGAAGCAGTTTTGATTGCTGCTTTTTCCCTAGTATGGCTGAAACTTTCTTGTATGTGCATCTCATTTGTTGTTGTTGTTGTTGTTGTTGTTGTTGTTGAATATTGCATAGTGTTCAATACTTTGTAGCAACTCTGGATTCTAGCTTCACCTCCCCACTCCAGAGTTTTTGTTATTTAAGCTTGTTTGTTTGCTTACTTACAACTTGACTGGACTAATTAGTAAATTGTGGGTCTCCTGCAATGTGTGGCTGCTAATATCTTTGCTTAGTTTTTTTTTTTAATTTGATTTGAAGTCTGGCTCTCGTGTTGGTTCTGTGATTATAGAACTTAATGTTCAGCTAAACTTGGTCAGAATTTATGCTTAGATGGCTCAAGGAGTACGAATTTCAGTCTCTGCTGTTAGATCTGTGTAGGTTGGAGTATGCATTCAAACTTTTTCCCAGTTTTCCCCAGATTTTAATTTTCATTGAGTTCTCTTGTGTCTCCTCTGCACCTACACCCTGGCTCCACTGGCCAGGGATATATGGGTGGTTTGGGTCTGCTCTGTTCTCTGCTATGTATGCACATAGTATCTGGTCAGTTCAGGATAGGAGAAGAGCTTATTAAGACCGTGATAGTTATCTTACTTCCCTCCAAACTATTAAATCATCAACTAATCCATCATTTTAGCCACTAGCCCTCAGTGTTTGCCTCCCATGAAGATCACCACTTTAAATGGCTATGTTTTGAGTCAGGTGAGTCCTTATGGCAGCAGCATAAAAGCTGTGGATTTCATGGCCTTCCCTACACTGGTTGAACTACAGTACCACAGAGGATGAGGGCAACCCTGGTAAGAACACCAAAGAGGCTTGCACTGTATTTACCCGAAGTTTAGTAGTTTTAATGAATAAACATTTCTCAACCAAAATGGTTGTTTTTTGACAGTTTTGTCTATATATATAGTTGCTTTTTGGGGGGAGAGGGCATATTGACCTCTTAACTGTGTTGTGTCAGAAATGCCTATTCTATACCAGTTGGTATATTGTATCTGTAGTGGAGTTGTCTTTTATTGTGTAGTGTGAGTGAACAGGAAATTGTGATTGTAGGGAAAAAAATAAAGAGAAAGAACATTTTTAAGGATTAGGACAGTTTGGCTAACCAGATACCAGATATAAATTTTATTTTTCAAGTGAACCATGAAATTGTCTGCAGGGCTGCTTGCTCTTTTTAAAGGGTATGGTAATTTTTGCAGAAAATTCTAATTGATTGTTGTTGAAACATTGGTGAGATTGACTAATTTGGTAATCTCATTGGTGAAAATAAAGAGAAGTAAAATTAAATTGATGATAGTCATTCAGAGGAGTTAACAGAAAGGAAATAATTAAGCAGCACATCTCTGCTGATGGTCATCACTGATTCTGAATCCATGGAAGTTTTTTTTTTTTTTTAATGTTTTTAACGTGAGCTAGGTCTTGGAGGATAAGTAGGAGTTCACTGTGCCCATCAAGACATACCATCTCTGGTATAGACTACAGAAAGCTTAAGCTAGAGCAGCAGGTGGGAACTTACCTGTAAAAGGTCTTGTGTACCATGGTAAGTCATGCAAAGACTTACTTGTTTGTTAGCTTGTAATTTAAAAAATACTTCTATTGTTGTATAATTGACATATAATAAATTACATATTTAAAGTGTACAATTTGGTAAGTTTTCACTATTAAGGTCACTTATTTCTTACTTCTGTGTCACAAGTAATTTGTCCATTTCATTTCATCTGTCATTTGATTTTGTGGGGCATAAAGTCATTAACAATTTTTCCTTATCATCTTTTAAATATCTGTAGAATCTGTATTGATGTCACATGTTTTATTCCTGGTGCTGATAATTGCGCCTTCAGTTTTTTATTTTTATTTTTTTGATTATTCTGACCAGTAGTGTTCTTCCATTTCTCTCTTCCTGGTCTTTGTGTTTTTACTTTATATAATTTATGGACTCCACCATGGATTCTTCTTTTTACTTTAAACGGTAGGTTGTTTTTTAAAAGAGATTTAAATAATGAGAGAAAATATTATATTTACTCACATGTTAACAGTTTCTGGGGCTCTTCATTTCTTTCTGTTGATCAAAATTTCCATATAGTGTCATTTTTTTGTCTGCTTAAAGGACCTCCTTTAACATTTTTATTTCTTCTTTTACATGTTGAAAATGTCTTTATATTACTTTTTTTTAAAGAATATTTTTTACTCTTTATGGAATTCTTGGTTAGCAGTTATTTTTTCTCTACTACCTTATGGTGTTGCTCTGTTGTCATCTGGTTTGCATCGTTTTCAGTGAAAACTGCTGTCATCCTTATGTATATTCTCTGTATAATGAGTCTTTTTTTTCCTCCTGTTGTTTTTAGAATTTTTTTTTTTATTTCTAGTTTCAAGTGATTTGATTTTAGCAATCCTTGATGTCATTTTCTCTATGTTTCTTGTGCTTGGGGTCCACTGAGCTGCTTGGACTTGTGGGCTTATAGTTTTCAGTAAATTTGGAAAATTTTGACTGTTATTTATTTATTTTTTTCTGCATTTCTTCCTCTCTCCGATCTTTTGCAAACTCCAATTATCCATATGTTAGGCAGCCTAAATTTGTTCCACAGCTCACTGCTGCTGTATTCATTTTCTTCAGTCTTTCCCCCTGTTTTAAATTTTGTATAATTTCTATCAAAATGTCTTCAAATTCAGTAATCTTTTCTTCTTCAGTGTCTAATTTGCTAATTCCATCCAGTGTATTTTCTTTACAGTTACTGTAGTTTTCATCTCTAGAGGTTTGGATTAGGTCTTTTTTTTTTTAAATAGAAGTCTTCCACATGTCTACTTAACATGTTAACTCCTTCTGCTGGCTTTCTGAACATACAGAATAGTTCTAAGAACTATTTTAGTGTTCTTGTCTACTAATTCTATCATCTACTTCATTTATGGGTCAGTTTTGATTGAGAGTTTTCTCATTATTAACAGTGCTTTTCTCCCTTTTGTGTGCTTCAGATGTCAGGTATCATGAATTTTATCTTGGTAGGTGCTGATGTTTTTTTCTATTCCTGTAAATATTTTTTAGCTTTGTTTTGTGGTGTTACTAAGTTACTTGGAAAGAGTTTGATCTTTTGGGCTCTTAGCAAGTTTTTAGGCAGGGAAAGAGCAACTGTTATTCTAGGGAAAATCCTCCCACCCTACACTTGAGGTAGAACTGTTTTTGACTTACGAGGTTTCCTTGTCCAGCTAGTGGGAAGAGAAACTTTTCACAATTCTCTATGAGCCTGGGATTTTCTCTCTAATTCTTTTAAATGATTCTTTTCCTAACTTCAGGTAGTTCCTTTACATGCATGCAGAGCTAGAGGGAGCTTTCTTCAAATCTCGAGAGTTGTGTCTCTCTGTAGCTCTCTTCTCTATGGTCCTCTCTTTTCTCTGTTACCCTGCCCTATGAACTCAAGACTCCTTGGCCTTCGTGGACTCCCACATCTATTCCTTTACTTAGTAGACTGCCTAGCTTTGCTTGAATTCTGCCTCCTTGTGCTGTGGCCTGTGAACTCTTGGAAGGCATTAAGCTGGGACAATTGTAGGGCTCAACTCTCATTTTCTGTTACTCAGTGATCAATGTTTTCATTGCCTGATGCCTACTGTCTTAAAAACTATTGTTTAATACATATTTACCCAGTTTTTAAAGTTGTTTCAGATGGGAAGGTAAATACACACACTCTGTCAATCCATCTTGTATCTTATATGCATAAGTATAAGTGCAAGTATAAGTTACTCATGGAAAGTTTTGACTGTTTTCACTTAATTCAGTCCATCTCCTGAATGTGTGTGGGAGGGAGGTGTAAGAAAATGTCAAAGGCTGATGAAGTCATTTACTGTCACTAATTTGTTATATGCTCTCACTAATCTGAATGATAGCTCTATATGTGAATCTACTAAAAGTAAATTCATTGGCCAAAAATTTCAGAAGTAATTTGTTGGTCAAAAATTCCTGTGTCCATTGGTATAAGGGTATTTTCTCTAATATTCTAGGAAGCAAACTCACTTGATTAAACAGAATAGAATCTATATGGATACCCAGACTCCTGGAATATTTCATAAATAATGGCTCAAATATGAGCACAGCAAAGAATACTTTTATTAGAACTCATAAGTTGAGTTTTTATTTTCAGGGAGAAGTTGTTGAAGTTATATTTGTAGGTGCTAACCCAAAGAATTCAGCAGAAAACCAGGTAAGCATCAATGATTGTTTTTGCAAATCCAGATCCATGTTTTAGCCTTTAATTCACTTGACTATCCCTATGGAGGTTAAAAACATAAAGATAAAACGTTCCAACTTGCTTTACATCTTATTTTGTAGGGGTGAAACATTTTCAGTGAGAACAGTTAATGTAGAATTGAGTATGGAAAAAAAGCCCATGGGAAGCATTTAATTGGCTCTACTTAGGACCACGTGTAGCACAGTGCATGGAGAACCTCATTGTCTCTTGAGAAGATATAGATTTGAATACAACCCCATTTACATATTCCAGTTTTAAAACTCTACTGAGTTTGGTAAAATAGTCAAATGGCCAAGATTGAAGTCTATCTTTGGTTCCTTCCATTCCTTTGTTCCTCTCCTCTACTATAGCAGTCCTGCCTCTGGTGCGGTCTCTATTGTTTTGGAATGATCATGGTTCCCTGGGTAGATGCTCTGCTGGCTTGGAGCCCTGTCCCCTGTGCTCCACTTTTTCTAGCATTGACCATTTCCCTACTCTTTGCTACTGGCACAAATAGAGTATTTATTTACTAATCTTAAAAAATGATATGAGAAATACAATCCAATGTAAAAATGGTAGAAAAGTGCTTAAAACAGAATGTGAAAGTACCTCTCTTCATAAAAATTTTCAGAGGTAATCACTGTTAACTGTTACATATCATTTCATATTTTTTGTTTTGATATACATATATAAGTATAAATATATATGATAAAGTACAAGTAACATATCTATGAATAAAGTAAAGTAATTTTATTTCTTTGTAACTCCATTAGTATGTTATTAAAACTACACAAGCAATAACTAGATACATTACAATTGCAAAAATTCAAACAATAAAGACATATATGGAAGAAAAAGAAAGTGAGTTTATGAAAGTGATTTCAAGGTCAGATTTTTTACTATGACTGAGAATGCATTCACTCTATTGATAAGCCATTCTTCCCAGAGCCCATTGTCACTTGTAATCCAAAATAACTTTCTTTCAAATGAGCCTTCCTGTTTCTGTTCATTAAAATATGATTATTGCTCTGAGAAAAACTGTGGCAGTATGACAATGTCAAATATATTGGGGAGAAATATTCTATTGCTTGGATAGTCAACATGCACCTGTTTAAAATAATTTCTCAGGTACTCAATCTATGCCAGAATATTTACATGTTTATATTATTTTCTGAAGAGTGTTGTAGCAAAACTGCAGGATTGACTATCGTCTGATACCCTTAGGGTGGGAAAATACTATTATCATTATTGCCATGGAGAACAGGAGACTAAAATGCTTCAAGAGCTATAATGAAGATAGAATGGCTTTCTTAGAATGTTCTGGGACTTGGCATAAAACGATTTCTGGTACCCTTTATTATGGGTAATCATCACATCCTCACCACTGTTTATTGAATGAGTACTATTTGCAAGTATGAGGCCAAGTGCTTTATATACATCATCACATGAATCTAATTTAATCTTCACTATTACTCAATGAGTTACATTTTATTATCCCTGATTTACAGATGAATAAACTGAGGCCTAGAAAGATTAAGTAATTTGTACTAACTAATTGTGTATCTGGAAGAGATTCAGGTTGGGAGGCGGGGAGAAGATAGTCACATAGTTCACACATTCAGCATCCTAGACTTGTTCTCTAATCTGCACACTAGACCTGTACACTGGGGCCCGCCCTATGTCCTCCATCTAGGGCCTCCCCAATGTCACCGTCCTACATGGTCACAAACAGTTCTCTTTACAAGTCACTGTGGTTATGAAAAGTCCTTTATGGAATATGATCCGTCAATTGAGTAATTAAAGAAGTATTTTGAATAATCCTGTGGCCCAGTGGTAAATAGGTGATTCATTCAGCAATGATTTATTTGAACACCTGTAAATGACAGATGTAAAGGGCTATGATGGATAAAGGTGAATTAGACACAAGTCCTGTCCTTAAGGGCCATAATGTAAAGATTTTTACAGAAAATTGGGAGATGTATGGCCTTTGTATCTTTTAATTTGTTATATTACTGAAATCAGTGCTTTATTTGAAGCTGAATTCTGGGCCTAAAACAAATTATTATAAACCAATATGGCAAAGTTTATTTTCCCCTGAGAAAGTAAAATCTGCTTATGATGTGGTTTCTAAGAATCTGTTACGACAAAATATAAGGATTACTTTCAGCACCCCAGGCAGTAGGAAAATTTATGCATCCTTTTCAATTCTTTCACTCGAGCAGGTATGTTTACTAATAATTCATTTACCTGGAGATGAAAAGATGAGGAAACCTTCCTATTTCCCCTCCTAAATCTTGAGGTGACTAGAGAAAGTCTTGGAATGTAGGTCAATCAACATGTCCTGGAAAGATTTGACTTAAACCTTTTCTGAATCTCAAGTTTTACTTTGTCTCTTCTTTGCTCTAATTTCCAAAGTTTGCTATCAGCTTAAATTAGGCTTCATTTAGTTTTCTAAGGAAAAGTCATGGTTTTTAATAGACTGGCTGAAGTAACTTTCTGGAGACATTGCATAAAATGTTGAGAGGAAAACCTAAAAATCTGGATGAAATTCTAATATGTGTTCCCACTAGGTATTGGCTGGTTAGCATACAATCAACAGGGGAGTATGGAGTATGAATAGACAGGTTTCTTCTGCGACTATGCGGTGTCTGATAAGTCATATTAACTGCATTTCAGACGCATCAGACCTTCCTTACTGTGGAGAAGTATGAAGCCACGTCAGCAACATGGCAGATAGTGCATAATGATGCCTCCTGGGAGACTCGGTGAGCAGTCTATTGAATATTTTGTCTTTTAGGCCCTGAAAAGAGTTAGTTAGTAATGCAGGGAAGACAAATGGGAAGACTGGCTCAATATGGGGTATTAATGATATCAAATTCCCAAAAGCATTTTGGCCATATTTTTATTGAAGTATAGTCAGTTTACAAGGTTGTATCAATTTCTGGTGTGCAGCATAATGCTTCAGTCATACATGAACACACATATTCATTTTCTTATTCTTTTTCACCATAAGTTACCAGGGGGGAGAGGGAGTGGGAAGGGATAAGTTGGAAGTTTAAGACTTGCGGATGCTAACTAATATATACAAAATAGATAAACAACAACTTCATACTGTAAGCCCTTATCACTTTTAAAATTATTTGGTGGTTTGCTTATTTATTGCTTTCTTGCCACCCTTGCCCTAGCAGAATATAAGCTCCATGAAAGTGAGTGGACCATGTTTCACTCACTGCTGTATTTTCAGTACCTCTAAGCACAGAGTCTGGCACATTAGCTCATTAAATATATATTAAAAAATAAATCTAGATGCAAAAAGAAGGGTCAAGTTGAAGCAGAGGATGATAAGGGCTAAAAGGATGCTATAGCAGATCTAAAGCAGGAGACATCTTGTATTCTGCATATCAGGTAAGGCTAGCTGGGATAGAAAGAATTTAGGTAGTTAGAAAGGCAGAACAAGTAAAGATATTTCTACAAAAGGCTGTTTCTTCAAGGTCTGTTTTTAGAAAGTATTTCTAGCTGTTTTGTTCACTGCTGTACTCTCAATATCTAGAGCAGTGCCTTGTTTACGGTAGGCACTGCCCACATATTCATTTAGTAAATAATCCTACATTTTTCTAATCACACATTTGTAAGAGTAAAATTGCATTTGTTTGTTTCCTACCAACAGTTTCTATTGGCACAAGGGATTACTGGGTCTTAGCAATGCAACGATACAATGGCACATTCCAGATACTGCCCAGCCTGGAATCTACAGAATAAGATACTTTGGACACAGTCGGAAGCAGGACTTACTCAAGCCCACTGTCATACTTTCATTTGAAAGCACTTCCTCCGCTTTTGAAGTTGTAACTACTTCGTAAAAAGTTGACCAATCATTTAAAGAGCAGCTGTATTGTCAATTTATGATTTATATGACTGATTCGATGCAAATGTAACCTATCATGATGACCTCTATAATTGTCCCTGTTTGGGTATGGAGAGTTTACTGCTAATAGGACAGAGGGGTGTGTGTGTGTGTGTGTGTGAGAGAGAGAGAGGAGGGAGGGAGAGGGAGGGGGAGAGAGAGAGAGAGGAGGTAGGTACGACCGTACCTTACCTTCGTCGTCCGTTCCGGTTCGGTCGTGGTCGTATTAAGTAAGACGTACGTTACCGTTTAACCTTAATAGTAACGTAAACCGT